CCCTGCAGCAAGTGTGGTAACAGGAGAATGCTAGACAAGGAACTCATGGGTACACATCTGCACAAGAATGGGTTTACGCCGAACTACACCCGGTGGGTCCACCATGGTGAAGCCGATCGTATGAGAGAGGAGGTGGTGAGACAACGCGTCGAGGCTTTTGATGCTGATGCCGGGGTAGCAGACATGGTAGATGACATTCACCAAGCACAGTTTGCTGAAGGGCGTGAGGAGGCGGAGATGCAGGCAGCCATAGATGCGTTCAAGTACATGATGGACTCAAGCAAAGAAACCCCTTCACGCTCATTCTGAGGTCTCCCAGCTGGATGCCATAAGTCGCTTGATGGGGTTGAAGTCCGATTTAAACTAGAGTCGAGAAGGCTTCGATAAGGTGTTGACCGTGGTTGGCACCCCGCTTCCAAAAAAACCACGTGTTGCGAAGAAGACCATGTACGAGGCACACAAGCTCCTTAAAAATCGAAGATGCCATATGAGCGGATACATGCTTGTTCGAACAGGTGTGTCCTATTTCTAGAAGAACTCAAGGAGACAAAAATCTTGTCCAAAGTGTAAAGCCTGTGTTCACGGAGGTAGAGTCTGGTGATGGTGGTGGCCAGAAGACCCAGCTTAAGATACCCACCCGAGTCCTACGTCACCTTCCCTTCGTGCCGAGGATTCAAAGGCTATTCATGACCGAGGAAACCGTGAAACAGATGACGTGGCACAAGAATGGCAAACGCTACCATCCTGACAAGATGGTGCATCCATCTGATGGTGAAGCATGGACCAGCTTTAATGACAAGCATCGTCTGAAATCCGATGAGGCTCGTAATGTACGTGTCACGCTGGCAACAGATGGGTTCAATCCTTATGGCATGATGTCTGCCCCTTACACATGTTGACCCGTGTTTGTTATCCCCCTCAATCTCCCCCCGGCATTGCCTTTCAACGACATAATGTGATCTTGACGTTGATAATTCCCGGGCACCCAGGGAGTAAGATGGGTGTGTTCATGGAGCCTGTGATTGATGAGTTGATCAAAGCTTGGAATGAAGGGGTATGGACATACGACCGAGCTACAAAGGAAAGCTTCAAAATGTACATCTGGTTCCAGTACTCCATGCATGACTTCCTGGCGTATGGGTTATTCAGCGCCTGGTGTGTTCACGGGAAGTTCCCGTGCCCAATATGCCAGGAAGCTGTGAGGTTCATTTGGTTGAAGAAGGGTGGTAAGTATTCGTCGTTCGATCAACATCGTCAATTCCTAGATTCCAACCATCCATTCCGACTTGTGCAGGCACTGGGACAGGTAACTAACTTTAGATTTAATCACAGCTACTTCATATAACCTGTTGAAAATTGTCAGAGAAACTAATAATGTTTGTTAATGACTTGTGCAGGCACTGGGAGGTTGTGTCGCCTGGTGACTCACGCAACCCCAACCACATCTTAGGGCTTGTGTGCAGGCACTATTACCCGGCATTGTCATGCACAAGGGGACTGTGGGGCCGCCAAATCGTGGGACCACTACACAATCCGCCTCGACGCAAGAATATGAAGACAAGTAGGAGCGGTCGGGAGAGAGTTCAGGTAAGTCTTGTTCGCACAACTTTGATCAATACATCGCATTCATTTGACACTTTTGACATAATGAATTGATACATTATGTCTGTCTGCAGACTTTTTTTCAGTGTGAAGAGGGACAGGAGAGAGAGGCGGAGAAGAACTTGGTGAAAAGTGCCGGAAGCGCATCAGCGACATGCACTACGAGGAGCGCCTCACTTGCATCATCAAGTACTACGCCACGCGATTTGGTCAGAAAGTCAGCAAGACACAGGCAAGACAGATGTCTCTGACCCGGGAACAGTACATTGAGGTAAATGAAGAAGAATAATACTGATTTGTTTTGAGATTAAGTAGCTTTCATTTGGTCGTCTTACATCTCAAATTCTTTATGACATGTAGATGATTCCATGGTGGTGCGAGTCCTTTGCCGACTGCTGGGAGATGATCGTGGACAGGTGGTTCACAGAGGGTTATATCCAGGAACACGAAGCCCACCGGGAGCGGGCTTTGCAGGCGACAGGCCCCACACACCACCAAGGCAGCCGCAGCCTTGGCGCATACAAGCAAGCTTGGGTACGTGAATTCATTTTTAGTATTCTAACGCTCCATTCTGCATGTTTCTTCTAATCATCTTGTTGTCTTTCTCGCAGTCGGCGTCGCATGGTGGCCAGCCTTTGTCCACGTTCATGGCGTATGGACTGGCCCGCAAGGGAAAGGCGACTTCCGCTGTCACCTTCAGCCCGGATGACCCACCCGAGTCATACAGCAACCCGAGCGCCCACACCCGCATCAGCTCCTACGCGTCGGACGCAAGGTCGGTCCAGGGGCCAGACTGGGATCCGAGCACCGACGACATTGATGGCACGACTGTCATGAGGATCGGACAGGGCAAGAAGCATGGGCGGATCTTGGCTTAGCGATGGCACCCTCGAGTCCGGCTTTATTCCTCCTCTCCCGGATCCGAGCAAGTACCCGAGCGGAGGCCCGGCCATACGCCAACGGCCGCCCCCCTTCACAGTTAGCGGGTCGACGACTCAAGTTAGTCGGTTTAACTCTTCATACATTGATCTTTACATAACTTAGTTACCTTTACATTACTAAAACATTCGATTGAAATATTGCAGGCCGATAACGAGAGGATGGCTCGGGAGAGCTGCGGGACTGGGCGGCAAGGACCGAGGTGGCGGCGGGAAAGACAAGCCGAAGCGGGCCGGCGGGAGAGACAGAGCCAAGAAGTGGCGGAGATTATGATGTTCTGCAGAACTTTGGGCAAGTGAACGGTGTACTGTGCCAATGTTCGCTCCAGCGCCGCCGCCAGTTGTAGCTAGTCCAGTGAGTATGAATCCATATTGCTTTGACTAGTGCTTTCATTAGATGACCCACTCTAAGCGCCTGAATCTCTTGTCCTTTATGCAGCCTCCGTCGGTGGTTTGAATGACCCATCTCAGCCCAAGCCGTGGTGCCGAGTTTCCTTCACTGTGCACTCGGTTTTTCTCCCCACCTTTAGTTTGTATCTCTTTTTCACCGCTTGATGGACATGTGATGCACTGTGATCCACTATCGACTTGTTACGATGGTAATTAGACCTATTATGTTTGTGATGTTGTGTATGTGAGGTATTGTATTCGCGATGTGATATATATGTGTGGGATTGAGTTTGTGATGAGATGGATGTGATATATATGTGCTATATTGTCTTTGTGATGCTTCAGATGTGATATATATCTTTTATATCTTTGTGTTTGTGATTATAGAATCAAAAACAAAATAAAAAAATTAATTTTTGAGCTTTTTTGCGGGTGCCACAGCCACGGCACTTTCGGCAAAGCTGGGATTTCGAAGGAATTCCTAGCTTTGCCGAAAGTGCAGGTCAGGCACCCGCAAAGTTTTTTCAAAAAAAAAAATCTTTGCCGGGTGCCCCATGACCTGGCACCCGGCAAAGAAATTACGAAAAAAAATAAAAAAACTCTTTGCCGGGTGCCCCATCGGTGAGACACCCCGCAAAGAAATTATAAAAAAAATAAAAACATCTTTGGCGGGTGCCTCCCCGGCACGGCACCCAGCAAAGAAAATTTGAAAAAAAAAATTAAAAAAATCTTTGTCGGGTGCCTCTGATATGGCACCCGGCAAAGCAAGGGATGACGGAGCCGGCGCCGTAACGACCACTTTTCTATGCCGGGTGCCGGGTTTGCACTCGGCAAAGTCTTTGCCGGGTGCCCGATAAAAAGCACCCGGCAAAGAAATCTTTGCCGACTAACTTTTTGCCGGAGGCTCTTTGCCGAGTGCTGCACCCAGCAAAAGCTTTGCCGAGTGCAAAGTAGCCTTTGCCGGGTGCATTCGGCACCCGGCAAAGCGCCTGAATCCAGTAGTGACGGGTAGGGAGGTATTCGCAATTACCACCTAGAGAGGTTCTCTCCTCGAATCCGAACACTTGAGTGCTTGGTTTTTGGCCACTTTTTGTGCCAACAGGATCGTCATGTGGGATCGTCTAGGCTTTGAACTATTCTAAAGCGGTTAGCACAGGTCACCAAGGCCTGCTAGCATAACTTGTTTTGGCCCTCGTTGAAGCCTGTTTTCCTTTTTTTTAAGAAATCTGGAAGGGCCAAGGCCCCTACAGTGATTTATTAAAGCAAAGAAAAGGCACTCTTAAGGTTAGAAGCAAGAACCAAAGTTTAAGAGACAAAAAAAAAACGAAGAAAATTAAGGACAGACAGCTGCCTATTCCAGACTTTGCATCTATGAGATGAACTGATCAGCTTGTCTTAACTTCACTGTGTAATGAAAAATACTGTCTTTTTCGACTACTACGAAAGCATTTTTAGGGGTGATCAAATTTGATTTCTAGTGACAGTTTGCACAAGTGCCTCGACCATATGCATCTTTAGGAATCGAGCATTTCTGAGGGCGAGTATACAACCGTCCCTAAAATCGATTTCTGGAGTAGTATTTGTATATCTTTCTCTACGCTCTACAAGTCTATTTGCGCATTGCGGCATCTACATATTTTATGTCATATTATCTCCTATTTTATGTCATACTGCAGTACACTCCACTACATATATAAAATTAATTAAAGATGTATACTCAATAAACAGGAGGGGATGCAAGCCGCCCCCCGCTGATCTTTTTGAAGAAACAAACCAGCTAAGTGAGTAGAAGAGAGTAACAGAAAGAGATTCATAATGCAGCTAAAATGAGTAATCCGTAAATTAAACCGTGTTGGCAACATTGTACACATAAACAAATATGGAATACACGCACAACCAATTGCATAAACACAAATATGGAGTAAATTAATATACACAACAAAACGTGCGTACATTATATATAACCAACACATTGCAAGAAATAAACTAAAGAAAGAAACAAATAATACACAACAGGTAGTACGTAGATGACAAGAAACGACGTACGTACGTACATGAATGCCACTATAACTAGGCGTCACATTTGATGGGGAAATTAATTCCATTGACGAAGTTTACATGCTGGCAGGCGAACTTGACAGTGAACGGCAATGTGGTAGCCAGTCCGTACCTGAACCACACCGTGGCTTGCACCACCACCAGGTTGTCGTTGGGGGCATTGTGCTGCGAGTCGTACCCGTAGTTAGCGGCGAAGTGGAAGCAGGCGTCGCTCCCCGGCGGGTGCCACTTCTTGCTGACGGTGGCTGATCCTTCGTCGAAGTCGTCAGAGCTCAGCAACGCAGAGGCCCGGAGCCAAGCTATTTCCGTGGGGCCGTACCATATCTCGGCGTTCATGGGGTGGCCGTACCTCACCTCTGTGCGCGAGCTGTTGTTCGTGGCCACCAGGGTGAACCTCAGGTGCGTGGTGCGGATCCTTCTGTCTGTGTTGTTTTCAAAGTAATATGTGGTTATCGCCGCTTCCTTGACGACGACGGAGATGTGTGCTGGGGCGAGGATGATGGAGAAACTGGCCGTGATGGCGATGAGGACTAGCGTTACGAGCAGAGCAGCTGAGATGGAGCGCTTGGCAGTCCACCTGGGGCTGCGCCGCAGACAAGGGATGGTGACCACCATAGGCGGCATAGATGAAACTAGCTAGCTAGCTAGTCAATGCAATGGCCGATTGGTGATGACACCGGGGAGTAGCTTAGCTTAGCTGTTAACAATAGGCTAGAATTGGAGAAGTAAGGAAGGGAAGCAGAGCAGGGATGGGGAACGGACGAGGTCTGTTCTTCAGTAGAGACGAGCTTGTTTATAGATATCAGAGATGCTCTGCTACACGGGGTTCATTCCCCTTTGTATCCGCACGCAGGCGGCCGCGCAGTAGACTGTTGGTCACGGCATTGCTCCAGCTTGGGTCATGTAGAAGCGCGGGTTCAGCCTCCTGGACCTGGGCCTTCCTTCACGTATTGCTTCATCATTGGGCGCGCTGGTTCTCCTAAAAAAATTCAGGCGCGCAGGTACTATTGCTCCCGCCAAGTCTTGCATCCTCATCAGTAGTCGCGCAGGAGCTCCAGGGAAGCGCTGCTGCAAGGGAATCAGACCCTCCCAAGTAGCAAGTGATTTGGACATACCTGACCACTGGACATGAACCTGAGTCTTTGAAGTGTCTCCCTGTGTCACGGCGCGATGCTGAATCACCTTGATAGGAAAGCTCCATTTTTTTTTTGATGAAACAGGAGGGGTTTGACCCCCTACTGGAATTTATTGATTTAAAATTAAATCTGTAAAGTGATGCAAAGGTCTTCAAGAGACAAAAAAGGTTAAAAAGAAATTAAGAAAGATTACACAAAGGCTTGCAGCCAATTCTAGGATGATAGGCAGCTTTTGCTCTATGCTTAACTAGAGCAAATTCACTCTTGAAGATCTGCTTGCACCGAGAAACAGACTGAGGAATGCCTTTGAAGATCACATCATTTCGAACCATCCAAATAGCCCAGGACATAGTGATAATAACTTCCATGAAGAAAGGCAAGCCAAGCTGCAACTTGAAGCACTCCACAATGAAACCAAAATTGGGCAAGACCAACTGCAGTGTGGACCAACATGTCACATAAAAAGGGCAGTGAAACAAGAGGTGAGCCAAATCTTCTTCATTGTTTAACCCACAAAGCACACAGTTATAATCTGGGAGGTGCATATTTATTCTCCGAAGGAGAGCTCTAGTGCTCAATCGGTCTTTCAAGACTAACCAGAAGAAATTTTTTCTCTTATTCTGACAGGAAGAACGCCAAAGCCACTTGAAAGCAATATGAATTTGCCTGTGACCAATAAGTCACTTATAAGCTTTATGGGAAGAGAAGGATGAAGAACCCCAAATATAAGACCAAGTGTCATTCGAGTGATGCAGCTGCAGTCCCTGGAGAACACTGTCAAGCTCATTGAATTGAGCAAATGCTTCAGGAGACAGAGGTAAGTGAAAAAGACTGTGGAGTGTAGGAGTATTGACTGCCACTGAAAGGGTAACCAAATCATTCCTAGCAAAAGAATAAAGTTCAGGGTACAACTGGCTGCAAACTCCAGAACCCCACAAATCATGCTAGAGGAAACAAGATTTTCCATCTTGGAGAGAAACCATAGCAAGACCTTTAAACTGGGTTAACAGTTTCAGCAAGTCTCTCCACAAAAAGAATCTCTGAAGGTGACATTCTGTACTGGCAATCAATCTCTAGAGTAATACTTGTCCCAAACTAACTGTACCCAAGGGATTGGGGCTCTATTGTAGAACTTGTGAACGTGCTTTAAAAGCAAACTTTCATTCTGAATTGTGATGTTAATTACCCCAAGACCTCCTTCATCTTTGGGTAAGCAAACCATAGGCCATGCTGCTTTAGGAGGCTTTTTGCTGTTAAGATCAGAGGCCCTCCATAAACAATGTTTTCTATATTTATCTATTTGCTTGATCACAGTTTTGGGCAAAAGGAAGCTGCACATAGCAAAAGTAGGCAAAGCTGTAAGGATAGCACTTGTGAGCTCTAACCTGCTAGCTTCACTTAAGAATGAAGAGAAGGCCACCAATCTTCTCTCACACTTGGTAGCATGGGGCCAAAAATCTGCCACAGTAGGTTTGGTCAAGCTTAAAGGAAGTAAAGGGGAGAGAACCCTTAGAGCAACCAAACGAAGTTGCCAAAAGATCAAGCCTATCATCAGGGATATTGACAGGGACCATCATAGATTTTTCAAAATTGACCTTGAGTCCAGAGGCTTCTACAAAAGTGGCCATGATATCTTTGAGATGAGTAAGCTCAGCAATGCATCCTTTCAAAAAATGAGTGTATCATCAGCATATTGTAGAATTGAAAAATCATTGTCACTCGGCAGAGACAAAGGCAAGCTAAGTTGATTGTTAGTAGGGGCATGATTCAGAATAGTTTGCAAAAAAAATCAACTGCCAGCAAAAAGAGAATGGGGGAGAGGGGGTCTCCTTGCCTAACTCCCCTTTTACAATGAAAAGTCTTACCAGGCACACCATTGAGCACAACAGAAGATGTACCAAAAGCAAAAATGGATCTCATCCAATTCAACCATCTAGTTGGGAAACCTTTGTGTTCCATAATTTGTAGCATGAACCCATGTTCAACCTTATCAAAGGCTTTTTCAAAGTCCAGTTTTAGAATGACAATTTCTTGTTTGGACTGGTGACACATATGAACCCATGTTCAACCTTATCAAAGGCTTTTTCAAAGTCCAGTTTTAGAATGACAATTTCTTGTTTGGACTGGTGCCCATGCAATGCAGTCCTGAATAGTTCTCTGTGTAATAAATCCATACTGACTGCAGAAGTGATGGCAACACTGACTGCAGCCTGTTTGCAAGCAACTTAGTGATGATCTTGACAGAGGTGTTAAGCAGGGAAATGGGTCTAAAGTCTGAAATCCTCTGAGCATCATCCTTTAATACTCTGCAAGCAAAGATGATTACTGAAAAAATTTGCACATAGCTTGTAAAAATCTGAGCAAATAATGAATCAACAATGCTTAACAAAATCTGTATTGAAGCCATCAGGCCCAGGAGCTTTGTCTGAAGGAAGAGATCTGACTACTGAATCAATTTCAAGCTTTGTGAAAGGTGTCACGAAAACAGTTAAATCAGGAGGGGCAGCAAAGTGTGAGGCAAGATCATAGTTCAGGGTGGTAAAAATAGTTGTTCCCAATCTCTCCTTGAAAGATAACCAAATCAGATTGGCTTTATCATAATGACTAACCAGCAGGTTACCTGAATCATCCATGAGCTGAGAAATAAAATTTGTTTTGTACTTAACAGTTGCTTGAGCATGAAAGAACTTGGTGCTGGCAGCTCCCAATGTTGCCCACTTAATAGAACCCCTTTGTTTCCAATAAGTTTTTTGGCTGCTGCAGAAGAGTAATTAACTTATCTTCTTAAAGTTTCCTGAAATTCCATTCAATCAAATTGAGGTCTCTGAACTCCTCAATAAAACACAAGAAAGAAAGGATCAACTTAACATTGCAATGTTGTCCTTTAAGGCTGAAAGTGATTGCTTCCACTGTTTCAAAGTATGTCTTAAGTTTTTAAATTTAGCAGTAACATTCTTAGCAGCATCAGTACACTGATAGGGAGAGGACCAACCCAACTGCACCTGTTGGATGAAATCTTCAAGTTGCAACCAGTAATTTTCAAATCGAAAGATGTATCCCCTAGGAATATCAGTGGTGATTGTCGGCACGAAATTTTGTCCCGTGCGAGGGCACCGGAAGGGTCTGCTCGATGAAGCTGTAGATCCGCCTGGCTTCAACGCAGGGGTGGTCGATCCTGCGTACTCCTCCCGAGATGTGCCAGTCAATTTGACCCTGTAATTGACAAGGAGAGAAAGCTAATCAGTAATTTAAGGCGGAACGTGCCGGTGTTGCCAGACAGTCCCGAATGTGCGGCTCTGAGAGCCGATATGAAAGGAGATCGACTAAACAATCGATTCCAGCATACTCATAAGAATAAATCAGTTAAAGCTCATGAGGTTGTGTAAGAAAAATCGATTATCATTCAGGATCTATATCGTTATTTAGACAAATATTAATCAATGACAATAAGATGTCAATAATAATTAGTTTATGCTAAGCCAATCATTTCAAGTAACTGAATCCATTTCATATAAAAGAAACAACTCATCATCATTTAACTATTTAACAAAGGTAAATCTAATGAACATATTAGATCTCATCTATCGCTATGACCAGTGGGGCATGAGACAGAATCATGCAGGCCGTAGAAAAAACAATAGATTGGACGACCCTAACTTATTACTAATATCAGTGGGGCATGAGACAGAATCATGCAGGCCGCGATACAATAATAAGATCATGGGGCTAACACATCTTTCAACCTATCTTTACTTCAACAGTATCGTGACGTGAACTGTTCGTGAAAGCACTCGATATCGACTAAAACAGCTGATTCTGGCATATTACACAGTTAAGGTCATGCCCTATCAGGAACAGATCTACCAAATAATGATCCCCACTCTACGGTGCTAACAGTGCGGTGTGAGGCAGAATCACACAGGCCGTGATAACGGGCCATGGAACGGTTTTCGCTAGCCAATAGATCTACTCAAGATCAGACATGCCTTAACCGCACACTATGCACGATCAAGATTGACATAAAACAGCCGATAAAACATAACTCATCGTTTAAAGTGTAAATTAGATCAAATTTAGATTAACAAATGATGAGTTAAAAAGGATATAAGGCCGATCTAGATCAATCCCAATCGGACGAAGTGATATTGCTATAATCAAATAAATAATAAAAGCAATAAACAATATCGGTAACTTAATGAATCTATCCGATGGAACGCCACCCTTAGATAGAGCCGATAACTTGACCTTAATCTAATTCGAGCAGTGGAGGTCGACCAGATCGATGCAGCCATACTTGAACTAAACAAGAGTCGATAACTAACTTATACAAGAGTCGCAGTGGAGGTCGACTGGATCGATGCAGCCCTACGAATAGAAGTATAAGCCATGACGGTATTTACAGACAAGCCGGAGGTCGGCTGGACTGATGCAGCCTTGCTCGCTGAAGAACTCACCGAGATCAACTCTACTCCTACTCTTAAGGGTTGG